ACTCACACAGGAAAGAAACCCTTTGAATGTCCTGATTGTGGGAAAGGTTTCAGTAAGAATTCCAACCTGGTGAACCATCAGAGGACTCACACAGGAGAGAAACCCTTTGAATGTCCTGTTTGTGGGAAAGGTTTCAGTAAGAATTCCAATCTGGTGAACCATCAGAGGACTCACACAGGAGAGAAACCCTTTGAATGTCCTGATTGTGGGAAAGGTTTCAGTAAGAATTCCAACTTGGTGCGCCATCAGAGGACTCACACAGGAGAGAAACCCTTTGAATGTCCTATTTGTGGGAAAAGTTTCAGTCAGAATTCCAACCTGGTGAAACATCAAAGGACTCACACAGGAGAGAAACCCTTTAAATGTCCTGTTTGCGGGAAACGTTTCACTCAGAATTCCAGCCTGGTGAGCCATCAGAGGACTCATACAGGAGAGAAACCATTTGAATGTCCTGTTTGTGGGAAAAGTTTCAGTCACAATTCTGTCCTGGTTAACCACCAGAGAACTCACACAGGAGAGAAACCCTTTGAATGTCCTGTTTGTGGGAAACATTTCAGTCACAATTCTGTCCTGGTGAACCATCAGAGAACACACATAGGAGAGAAACCCATTGAATGTCCTATTTGTGAGAAATGTTTCAGTCAGAATTCTGTCCTGGTGAACCATCAGAGTATTCATACAGGAGGGAAACCCTTTGAATGTCCTGTTTGCAGGAAAAGTTTGAGTCAGAATTCAAGCCTGGTGAGTCATCAGAGGATTCAGGAGAGAAACAGGAGGACTCACACAGGAGAGAAACCCTTTGAATGTCCTCTTTGTAGGAAAAGTTTCAGTCAGAATTCTGAGTTGGTGAGACACCAAAGGATTCACACAGGACAGAAACCCTTTGAATGTCCTATTTGCAGGAAAAGTTTCAGTCAAAATTCCCACCGAGTGAACCATCAGAGGACTCACACAGGAGAAAAACCCTTTGAATGTCCTGTTTGCAGGAAAAATTTCAGTCAGAATTCCAGCCTGGTATGCCATCAGAGAACTCACACAGGAGAAAAGCCCTTTGAATGTCCTGTGTGTAGGAAATGTTTCAGTCAGAATTCTCACCTGGTGAACCATCAGAGGACTCACACTGGAGAGAAACCCTTTGAATGTCCTGTTTGCGGGAAAAGTTTCATTCAGAATTCCAGCCTGGTAAGACATCAGAGGACTCACACAAGAGAGAAACCATTTGAATGTCCTGTTTGTGAGAAAGGTTTCAGTGAGAATTCCAGCCTGGAAAGACACCAGAGGACTCACAAAGTTGAGAAACCCTTTGAATGTCCTGATTCTGGGAAAGGTTTTAGTAAGAATTCTGACTTGGTGAACCATCAGAGGACTCACACAGGAGAGAAATCCTTTAAATGTCCTGTTTGTTGGAAAAGTTTTGGTCAGAATTCTCACCTGGTGAGCCATCAGAGAACTCACACAGGAGAGAAACCCTTTGAATGTCCTATTTGTGCGAAAAGTTTCATTCAGAATTCCAACCTGGTGAAGCATCAAAGGACTCACACCGGGGAGAAACCCTTTAAATGTCCTGTTTGCGGAAAACGTTTCAATCAGAATTACAGCCTGGTGAGTCATCAGAGAATTCACACAGGAGAAAAACCCTTTGAATGTCCTGTTTGCGGGAAAAGTTTCAGTCAGAATTCCAGTCTGGTAAGACATCAGAGGATTCACACAGGAGAAAAGCCCTTTGAATGTCCTGTGTGTAAGAAATGTTTCAGTCAGAATTCTCACCTGGTGAACCATCAGAGGACTCATACAGGAGAGAAACCAATTTAATGTTCTGACTATTGGAATTATTTCAGTCAGAATTCTGTCCTGGTGAACCATCAGAGGACTTACACAGGAGAGAAACCCTGTGAATTTCCTGATTGTGGGAAACGTTTTTTACAATTCCAACTTGGTAAGACATCAGAAAATCGACACAAGAGAAATGTGAACCTGGTGATATAATGGAAGACTCACAGAGGAGACAGATCTTTCTGTGGATGATGCTTCTGGCATGCATTGTTCATCAAGTGAGGGAAGTTGATGAGTTTGAATTTCATTTCTCATCTCTCATTAGGAGTGTAGATGAAAACATATCTCAGAATTAGATTTGTAAGTGGAGAGAAAAAGGAAAATGGAAAATGGCTAAACTGTTTCTCGTTATCAGCAGCAATTTCATTTATGCAAAAGTAGTGGAATTCCTCAAAAAGGCTTTTGCGTGGTGTTTTTTGTATATTGATTATGGAATTCCCACATGTGGATTTTCTGTCTTCTACCTTGGTGTCCTCCATATTTTGAGCCCCAGAATTCCCCAGTCACCATAGAAGTAGTCCTCTAGATACAACTGTAATGGGGCCTGTCAGTTACGGTTGCATCTTGCAGTGGTTGTTAAGTGAGATTACTTTGCTTAACTACCTATTCCCTTCTCTCCCTGAGGAAGCTGTTAAACAAATGTTCAAGTCCTTAAGCAGAACAGTGACTATCTCAGGGTTGTGGGAATCTCTTGGAGGCCTAGTCTCCACTACCCCACCCTTTGGGTCCCCACAGACATTTTCCTATTCCGCTCAGTCCCTACAGTTGTTAGGCCTGACTCCCAACCCACCAGGCATCACAGCCTCCTCCTCCATACCTTTCAAAGATCTCTGAACCTCATGTTGGTGAATGAAGGCAAAAGCGCATTTGTGGGCTTCATGACTCTGTCATGGAAGCAGCTGTTATTTTGAGTTTGCCTGGGATTCATGCCTGGTCATGTGGCAGAC